ATGGACAGTTTTCAGAGCTGTATTCATATCGTCCACTGCATTGCAATCTTGTAGGCACTGAAAGCGGTTACGTAACTCGAGCTGAAAGTTTTCGGGATTCTGGATTAGACCACGAGGGGGGACGGAGCGTTGACTTCATTAGACGAGACCTCTCCAACTTAACGTTTAGGTTCAGTCTGCCTCTAACCATTCGGTGATCGCTGCCAGTTTTTACCCTTGCGATCACTGAGACATCACGAGTTGGCGTCTGGTCGTCATAATGAAGTCAATCTCATTTTTTGTCGAACCGTCGGGGCTCGACCAGGTCCACTTCCTGTGGGGCCGCTTCTGGAAGAAAGAGTTCATCATAAAGAGTCCCTCTTTCTCCATAAAGTTGGCCAAATTACTCTACTTACTCCAAATTTCCATAACTTCAGCTCACCGTTTTCTCTTGTGCCTAGTTTTGCTTTGAAGTCTCCCATCAACACCGTGTAGTGAGTTTTGGAGGAATGTATGGCTTTGGAAATATCCTCATACATTTCCTCCACCTCCTCATCGGGATGTGCCGAGGTCGGTGCGTAAACCTGTATGACCTTCAGCGAATACCGTTTGGTGATTCTGAGTATCAGGTACGCGACCCTCGTCGACACACTCCCAATCTTTACAAAGTTGTTGACGAGATACTTGTGGACGATAAATCCAACACCTCCTTGGGACAGATGGTCGCCCTCCCGGTGATAGAACAAGTTGCCGGATCCGAGAATCACCGTGTCCTACCCCTCTCTTCGGACCTCGGATAATCTTATAATATTCCACCGCAACTTGTCTATCTCTTCTTTCAGCTCCAGGATCTTCTCGTCAGTCCTCAGGGTGCGTGCGTTAAATGTTGCCAGGTCGAGTCGTCGTAGGTGGCAACCGAACCTCCACCGGAGATTCTTAGCCTGCCGCCGTTACCATGGTCGCCACCGTAGCCAGGAATAGCGGGGCCGCCGGGGACTGGGGGCCGTCTATTTGTGTAATTGTTCATGGGGGGTATATTGCCATAGTTGCCACGCTTGGCGAGTGGGTTGGCAACCGCAGTTTTTTTTTGTCGTACAGTTGCTGTTATAGAAAGATGGCCCTTGCCGTTCCCTCTGTCGCCTTTTACGACACCCGCGGGAAGATATGGGGCAGTGGATATTCTCAACCGCCACTACACGGCTGGCAAACTTAGAGATAAGCGGGCTACATACGACACGATATCGGTGGCGATCTAGGGTGGAGTAGTGGGGATGCCTCCTAGATTGCCTCTAAATCGTGTCGTATGTAGGGCCATCCTAAGTCGTGGCCGATATCGCCTCCTTAATCGGCTGGCAGGAGCAAAAATGCTTCCTAGATCAGCCGATGCTTCCTAGATCGGGGCACCGCCCCCTCCTTACTGCGTGTGTGTAGGCGCATCGGCCCGATTTCTATTGGCAGTCGCTGCCGGCAACCCTCGCGGAAGGAAGTTAACAAAACAGTGATACTGAATGACCTTTTTTATATAACAAAATTTTTACATTTTAATCATATAAACGGAGTAGAAGCCTATGGCACTGATATTTTACAAAAAAACCAAAAAAAAGTGAATAAAATAATAAATTAATTGAAACTTTATCGAAATTCAAATCATATCCACCCTAGCCTGTGACCCTGCGAAGTGACATGGTCAAGAATGCCTACTAAACTAATTTTTTTATTGCCGTTCGTAAAGTAGAGTGTATGATGTAAGTTAGGAGAAGATAAAGCCTCTCCTCAACAACTAACTCCTATTCCAACGCTATCAACACAAGACCGCACTCATATCTCTTACAACTCCACAAGACCACACTTCGATCTCTTACGTGCCTTCATCCTCTTATCAACAACTAACTTCTACTCCTTCACCATCTCCACATCAACAAACAAGTTATATAAAAGGGAGTATGTCCGAAATTAAAGGTTTCTTTATGTTTAAAAAAGATATAAGCTATTTTATTTTCTGATAGTTTTACTCCATAAATAAAGATTACATTAAAAAAAAGTATACATATTATTATACAAAAGTATTTTATTTCCTTGTTTGTTGTGTGTAATACATAACCAGATTTTGACCAAAGCAGAAATGAACAAAGAGAAGAAATAACTAAATAGCATAGGTAGGAGAAATTGACGTTTTTATATAAGTGGCGAAATCATTTCTAGAAGGTTATAAAAACTGTCTTCATCCATCCGGAGAAAATTAATCACGTCCTTGGATTACAGGCCATTTAGTACGTTTATGTGGCTTAATTTTTATCTCTTTTGGAGCCATTTTTTCACCCAGCAACTTCTCTCTTTCTATTTTCGAATAAATTAACCGAGATGGCTAATGCCAAACCAACACGGTGGTGTTTTAAGAGAGTCGGAGGTATTTTGAAGAACTCTACCGCATATGCATTCCGCTCCAACTCCGAACGCGTACTGCTAGGCAGGCCCGTGTGTAAGGTCTACCCCCGATAAAAGCCCCGATTTCTGTCCATCCTAGATCGCCACCGATATCGTCTCGTATGTAGCCCGCTTTAGGTTCAACTAATTGGGACGAAATACTTAGTAGTGGTAACATTGATGATGCGGTTAATATTTTTTATAACATATTATATAATATTCGAGATAAATATGTTCCCCTGTCATTTAAATACAAAATAAAATGGCAACCATGTTTTAACTTTGCGCTTATGAAATTAATTAATGAAAAAAAATATCATAAGAAATTTTAAGTTTATGGTAATTTAAGTGATAAAAATACGATTATCATATTAAGAGAAAGAGTAAAGAGAATTGACTCCCATAACTGTTAATGATATTTCTTCAATCAAATTTAATTTTTGTGAATTAAAAGGGCTGCTAAAATCACTTGATTTAAACAAATCAGCTGGACCTGACGGACTTCCAGCTATTTTCCTAACTAAGTGTGCCGAAACTATATCGAAACTCTCTTACACCTCTCTAAAGTTGGATTGGTTTCGTATTCTGGTATCGTACTCGGATAGCCATTTACTTACTGTACAATCATTTAAGCACTTCGATATAACTTTGTTTTATTCATTATCAACTAATATATATACAGACTAGAGATAAAGAGCGAGAGCTTGAAAACGTGGATGAGTTATGGGAAAATAAGAAAAAGAAGCTACGGTTAAACGTGAGAATCTCTCACTGTAGGTTTTTCATTGAATTAGAAGATAATAACTTTCCCTCAAAGATTTAACTTTCTCTGAGAGTCTACGCCCCCAAAACACAAGTTTGTCTCTTCAACGCTTAAAAGAGCCTGTTTATCCTGATTCCTACTTTCGGCAATGTATCTTAAAGAGTACATGTTCGCCTTCAGTTGATAGGGATTCATATTTCTCCAAACTTATATTTAAAGGATTCATAGAATCCAGGGCTATAGCAGCCGCAAGGAAGCTGTAAAATGAAACACTCTCGATTGTTCAACGTCTATTCATCAGCCTTGCTAACCATCTACACACTTTTGACATATCTTTCTTATAAGTAAATGCCGCCTACATTACATACTATATAATAGTACCCGGTTAACCGAGCTTTGCTCGGTATTTTTCGCTCGGTTTTTTTTAATTCGTGTGTTTTGGAAATTATAATATTTAGATACAAATTACATACTGATGAAATACGAATAATATTTTTTGATCTTAGCGACATAATAGTAAAACTGAACTGGTTATTTGAATAAAAAATCATGAGTGCAATTAGTTTAATTTAAATTTTCGTGTTTTTAAAAAATACTAAAAAAAGGCTCGAAAAAAATAGATTTTCTCAAAAACGAAAGGAAATCGAAAAAAAATTAGAAAGTATCGGTCTGGGCTCGAACCATGGTATTACGCTTTTGTGACCGCCCAATATACCAATTAAGCTATTTGTAATCATTAATAAACTGTCAAAATTTACCTTCTTATTCTAACGATATTGTAGCTGTTTTTCATTCCCTACTTTTTTTTTTCCCCCTTTTATATATTATATATATATATATATATATATATATATATATATATATATATATATATATATATATATATATATATATATATATATATATACACACAATAATTGCTCGTTTTAAAGGTATAGGATATAGGATACATATTACAAAAACCAGGTGTCCTTGCAAGGACGTGGCGGTACTCCACGCCGGGGCAGCTTCTTTTTGGGAAAGACTGCTCATTGGCTAGCTTCATAGTTAGTTTCAGGCACAATACCAGTCCTACCACTAGTTGCCACTGTTTGGACGTAAATTGCATGCAAAAAAAGAAGCATAAAAAGTCCGCTATCTACTTAGCTGAGTCGTCTGGATTACCAATAGTAGCAGTATATGCGTATCTACGAGTATACCAATGGTGAGAAGAAAGAAGTTTATCTCGACCGCTTTGGCAACAGACTAAAACCTCTACTGCCAGTTGGTTTGACAGATAGCTTTATAGTTTTTAGCCGATATGTTTAATGCGTTCTAAACTGTACATAACCATATTCATTAAATGTTTCTCTTTTCCGTATACATTCTACGCAGCCAGGTTTAAACTATAAACCTTGTAGTACGACTGGGATCACAGATATGCGGAATTTAACTTCTCAATAAGTAATATACTACAACGTAAATTACTAAGGTCTCTTAATATTTACTTAATATATTCTAATCTTTAATAAAGTCAAAGCATATTAAAGTCTACTACTGAACATAGGCCTCCCCCATAGATTGCCTCATAGGGGTATTTGGCATAATAACACTTGGCAAGCAGGTTGGCAACTGCAGTAATTTTTTATTTTAGTCGTTTTTAGGAAGACACATGACACCCACGAGATAATAGTGGGATAATGGATATTCTTACACCGTCACAAATAATCAAAGTATTATTATTAAATATATTATGTTAAGGTTGAATTAATATTATGAGTTAAATATTAACATTATTTGGCTTGGACACGAAACTATGTATTTCCTATTAGAAATTACATGCGTTACGCTAAGCATGGTTACGCTCAGTTACACAAATGGTCATCCGTATATTAAAACACATGTTGAACGATTCACTTATTTATAGATTGAATAAAAATTTACAATACGAAAGTTCCGCCTCGCTAAATTAATATTACGAAATTGCGCATTTCAAAGCCGTTAGTCACTTTGCAAATGATTTAGGTTTGGACTTCGAAGACACAGTTCACTGGTATCATTACTTTCGTACACTTTTTGTAAACCTCGCTTAAGGTTCCGTTATTTCACTTATGTTTATCCAATGTTTTCTTATGCTTGCGTTTACAATACCCATTGAATTAATTATTATAATATATGACTTATTTTTATGGGTTTTATCGCGTTTAACTTTTTTAATATTTCCGACGTTCGAGCTGTTTCTTTTTTTTACGTACTATTGAAAAGTTCAATTTTTGAAGCTGCAAGAATAAGTATTCAATTGAATTTTTTCTATTATTATTTTTTTATTTAGATTTCTATTATTAGTTTATTTAGCAGTAAGTAGATGGATTCAAACTATGAAAACCAAAACTCTCTGGTACTCAGCAGCAATAAGTTGATGTGCTACTTGAGTGGTCCAACCGTACAACAAAGCCGCAAACATTTTTGTAACACATAAATAGTAAAATACCATCTAAATTGCTTGCAAATATGAACAATGTGTAATTGCTATAGACTTTCTTTCAATATCGATATGCAATTGTGCACCTACTTTTCTTATTACCCACAACAAGAAAAAAGATTGTGCGTATCCACTACTTAACAGATCATTTACAAGTACCTGCCGTTCTTCATAAGTTCATGTATTTAGTATCTAATGATTAACATGTTATTTCTCATTTTAAGTGGATTGTATTCTTTTTGAGAAATAAACATCTTAAACCGTAAATAAGGCATAATGTGATGTAGATTCTATAAAAAATTTTGCTTCTGTCAAAATTATGCTATTAGGGCTGCCAGCGGTGTATAGTAAAAATATTTTACGATACAACAATATCAAGAAATAGCAATGTTTTGTTTAATTTTTAATATCGCCAAACGATCTCTATAGGTCAAGCTATATCATGATATTGTCAACAAACAGTGTTGAATGTAAAATTCACGTAATGATCGACTACTTTATGATATTATTAACTCTCAGACCTGGCCAATACATCTAAAAATATCTTTATTTAAACTATAAGCAAAATGAGAGTTTTACAATAATTTCAGTTTTTATAAGTTTATTTATAGATACTAATATGTTCTAGTTAGTAGTAGTAGTCATTAGTTAGATAGATACTACAAAATTTAATTATTCCTACTAAAATGAAATAAAAGAACTGAACTAGAATTTTTAAATCCATTATGATTTTAATCATTCAAACGTATAAATGTAAGTTATTTATATTATTTAATTTATAAGTAACTGCATGCAAAATGTTACTACTTTTTGTTGTTTACGTTCGATAGCACTCTTTAAAAAAAAGTGAAACATAGATTGTTGCTTTGGTTCAAAATATTACGCAGCGTTTAAAAATAATTTAATATAATAATATGTTATTTACAAATACGACATTTATTCTAAAAAAATCAAATCAATCATATAAAATGCAAAATAACACCACGAGGAAGAAAAATACTTAACCCTCTTATTTTGTAGTTCCGTAATCGGATAAAAAGTAGCCCATAAGTTATTTCGGGTCCCGAACTATCTATACACAAACTTACATGGAAATTATGTCGATTAATTTTTGTAAGTTAGTTTTGACAATACTTTTTAATTTGTGACTAATGTGCGACTTGAATAATTAAAAAATAAAATAACACGTATTAAAACAAGGCTTGTAAATTACACAAATTCATACAAATACAAATTAATATACAGACTACGAGTAAACATACATTTATATTAGTTTTTATTTAATTTGTTTATTTTTGTAAACTTACAGCTACCAATAATATACAAATAATAAAATAAGCAGAGGATGAAGGCCAATAACAAGTTCATTTGAAGAAAAAACAGAACGTAATATTAATTAAAGTCTATTTTTTCAGATTGCTGCTTTGCTTTTAGTTACGGTCGCTGTCGGTAACGGTGAGTATAACATTTAAAAAAAACATGCAGTAGGTATATAAAGTATAAAACTTTGTAAATAAAAAAAAATATGAGAATTAATAAAGAAAAAGTAATTATCAGATATATGTGCAAAAATAATTTGAAACTATTATTACCAGAATAAATGAATCACTGTTTAGGTTCACTAGTGTTTGAATCTTTAGTACCTATATATAAGTACGCAAACACCAGATTCTGCTTATTATAATACTAAGTAGGAAATTATCACTTTCTTCTTATAATATTACTCTACTCTTAGGTTAGCACTATAGAACTATTTATGTTTTATAAACGACAAATTAATGAGATTTTACGTTTCCACAGGTCTGCCGCACGGAGGCGGTTACAGACAAAGTGGTCCTGGTGGCCGCGGTGAATTTGTATCTGGAGATCAGGGTGCCTTTGCTCACGCAGGTAGCCAAGGCGGCTTTGGTTCAGGTGGCCAAGGCGGATTTGAAAGAGGAGATCAGGGGTTCCTCTGCTCACGCAGGTAGCGAAGGCGGCTTTGGTTTCGGAGGTAGCCAAGGTGACTCTGGTTCTGGTGGCCAAGGCGGATTTAAGCCTGGAGATCAGGGTGCCTTTGCTCACGCAGGTAGCCAAGACGGCTTTGGCTCAGGTGGCCAAGGCGGATTTGAACCAGAAGATCAGGGTGCCTTTGCTCACGCAGGTAGCCAAGACGGATTTGGTTCCGGTGGCCAAGGCGAATTTAAACCGGGAGATCAGGGTTCCTTTGCTCACGCAGGTAGCGAAGGCAGCTTTGGTTCCGAAGGTAGCCAAGGTGACTCGGGTTCAGGTGGTCAAGGCGGATTTAAACCAGGAGATCAAGGTGCCTTTGCTCACGCAGGTAATGAAGGCGGATTTGAATCCGGAAGTAGCCAAGGCGACTCTGGGTCAGGTGGTCAAGGTGGATTTGGACCAGGAAATCGGGGTGGTTTTGGTTCAGGAAAACAAGGAGTTTTTGGTCCAGGAAATTAGGGAGGTAACAGGACTTTAATGGAAGGGTTGGGGTGAAGAGGTCTGGTTATGAAAGGATATTGGGAACGTTTGGTGATGAAAGTATAAATGAGAATGGTGAAGACCTCCTCACCGTATGTGCGGAAAAGAATCTTTTTGTGACGAATACTTTTTTTCGTCATAAGAAGATTCACATGTATACATGGGAAAGAGGTGATGATAGAAGCATGATAGATTTCGTAATTGTGGATGAAAGAATGAGGAGCGCAGTCGTAGATACAAGGGTTTACCGGGGGTCCAACGTAGGGACGGATCATTACTTGGTCTTATGTCGAATTAATGGTCTTTTCAAGCGTTGGCGGCATCGGACATCTGTGTCTACCACTGCGTTACAGCGTATAAGAATAGAGAAGTTACAAGATGAAGATGTGAAAGAGAAGTATAAATGTAGACTGAGAGAAAATATTAGATGTTTGAATGAGTTGTGTATGAATGATTTAGACTTGAAGACTGTGTGGGATAATATTAAGAAAGGTTTGGTGGATACCGCCACCGAAGTATGTGGTGTAAGTAAAAGAACAAATGAAAGGAAAAGTAATACGTTGTGGTGGGATGATGAGGTACGGGTGGAAGTTGAATCAAAGAAGAAAGCATGGTTAGATTTACTAGCAACCAAAGCTGGTAATTCTTCTGGTATGAATGATGAGACTGAAAGAAAAAAGGCAGAATTTAGACGTCTAAATAAGAGAGTAAAAGAAGTTGTTGAAAGGAAAAAGAAAGAAAGAATGGATAAGAATGATAGAAGGATATCTGATAATTTCCAGGCTAACATAAAAATGTTCTGGAAACTCGTAAGAACTGCCAGGGGAAATACAAAACAGCCTATAATAAATGCTATAAGAGACGAGAATGGATGTATTCTGAACGATGAAGTTTCGAATTTAAACAGATGGAAGGAATACTTTGAAAGCGTGTTTATGAGTGAAGAGTCGTATGAATTAAATGAACTAGAAATTCCGAAAGAAGTGGAAAGGGGTATGGAGATAAGTGTAGATGAAATAATGAAAGCAATGAAAAGCATGAAAGCAGGTAAGGCAGCTGGATATGATAGAGTATCACTCGAGATGCTAAGGGCTGGAGAGGGAGTGGTGGCAGGCCTGCTGTACACCTTGTTTAATTTATGTTGGGAATTAAAACGGGTACCGGATGACTGGTGTAAAGCAGTTATAGTACCAATATATAAAGGAAAAGGGTACAGCAGGACTGCAAAAAACTACCGCGGTATCAGCTTGCTTAGTATTGTGGGTAAACTGTATGCTAAGGTGTTAATTGAAAGAGTTATGAAAGAAACTGATGGAAAAATTTGGGATGTGCAAGCGGGTTTTAGAAAGGGAATGGGGTGCACAGATCAAGTCTTTTCCATGCGCATGATTGCGGAGAAGTTTTTGGCCAAAAACCAGAAAGTTTTTTGTGCGTTCATGGACTTGGAAAAGGCTTATGACAGAGTGGACAGGAATGTGTTATGGCAAACACTGAACTCATATGGGTTGAGCGCTGGTTTGATACAGGCTTTAGGGTCTCTTTATAGGGACTCTAGTGCTTGTGTCAGGATCAATGGGGTCTACTCGGACTGGTTTGGCATCCAAAAAGGTGTCAGACAGGGCTGTGTAGCTTCCCCTTGGCTGTTCAACCTATTTATGGACCGGTGTTTGCAAACTTTGAAAGATGAAGAATGTGGTTTAAGAATGGGCGAGTTAACCATCAAATGCCTTTTGTATGCCGATGATCAAGTCGTATTTGCGTCATCAGCGGCTGAGTTGCAAATGATGGTTACATTAATGAACTGGGAATTAAAAGAAAGGGGAATGAAAGTGAACGCAAGTAAGACGAAAGTGATGGTTTTTGAAAGAGAAGAAAGCAAAACGGTATGTGAAATAAGAATAGAAGGAGAGTTAATTGAGCAAGTGGATGAGTTTGTGTATTTGGGATGTGTATTTAGCAGGGATGGTAGATATGATAGGGATATAGAACGACGAGTAAATGCAGGGAATAGAGTGAATGGGGCACTACACTCTATTATGAAGAACCAGAATGTGTCAAAACAGGCACGTATGGTAATTCATAATGCTGTGTTAGTCCCTACGTTAATGTATGGTAGTGAAAGCTGGGTGTGGCAGAAGAAGCACGAAAGTAGAATAAATGCTGTAGAAATGCGTTCTTTAAGAAATATGCTAGGGTTTAATCTGAATGACAGGGTGAGAAATTGCGTGATAAGAGATAAATGTGGTATGCAAGATGATGTTGTGACCAGGATTAAGAAAGGAATGCTTCGGTGGTTTGGTCACGTAGAAAGAATGAATGATGAAAGAGTGACAAAGCAAATTTATATGGCAGATGTGAACGGCTGAGTCGGGAAGGGACGCCCTAGAAAAAAGTTTGTCGACCAAATTGGCGATATTTTGAAAATGGGCCACGTTAGAAGTACCCTTAACCGACGAGCATGTATGCGTAGATATATGGATGTAAAGGAGGCGAAAGAGGTATGTCAGGATCGTGCCAAATGGAAGTCCGTAATCTCTGCCTACCCCTCTGGGTGACAGGCGTGAGTGTTTATGTTATGTTATGAAATTAGGGAGGTTTTGGATCTGGTAACCAGGGTGGATTTGGACCCGGTGGCCACGGCGGACAAGGAGGATTCGATGGTCAAGAGCACGGATATTAGTTTGTAATATTTATTAATAAGGACGAAAATATAAAGCTTTGCTTTTTTATTTATCATTTCGTTTATTAAATGCCTTCTTATAACTAAAAGTTGGGAGTATTGGCGCAATTTTTTCAAAGCAAAGTTGTATCGTTGAATAATATAATAGTTCAAGTGCCTTTTGATACGTGATTTAGTGTATTAAGTGACTGGGCATGTGAATTATTGGTGGAAACGATGAAACAAGTGTTTCGATGTTGAGTTGTTTGTCCACAGGTGAGGCGCCGTAACAAGAACAAATTATTGTAATAATGATTTGTTATATTTACACGAATACAAGGAGAGCCGTGGCAGCTCGGGGCTATGTGCTTACTGTTCACAGTGCACTTCACAGTACCGGCACATTATTAATAAATAAAATTAAGTTGTAAATTGCAATTTTAAGTGAAGGAAAACATTGTGAAGAAACCTCTGTACGTGGTAGAGCCATTCTACAGTTATATTATTAGTATAGTATAGCACGAATGGGTCAGCTCGACCGGGGTAGGACCACGCTCTCACAGAGTATCAGTGTAAAATAGTAGCTTAATGCTTTGTGTTTCGTATGGTGAGTGTAGAGAACCGGAGATCCTTTTTACTGAAAACGCGGCATACCATCTTAGTCCCCATGGGTGATAACGCATCTGTATTTTGATTCGTAATCGAGGATAGATGTAGATACGTCAAACAAGATGCAGAAGTGTACAAGTTTGATTGTAAATATTGTCTTACACGGCAAAAATAAAAATATCAATAAGAAAAGTTAAAAGAACATATAGCTGACGTGAAACATCGACTTAACGGATATCTGCAGTCAGTGAAAATGTTTTATTACCGTGCAGTGACAGGTTAAGATTATCCTTTACCCTATAACTTCCCCTGAGGGTCGTATAAGGCGACAGAATGGGCGAGCATTTTTTTACTACAAAAAAACTTTGGTTGGCAACCTGCTTGCTAAGCGTGGCACTATGGCAATATATCACCCATGAGCAACGATACTGTTGCGCGCCACAGTTAATGGCACTAGCGCCATCTGGTATCAGGTATCAGAAATAAAAGTTTCAAGATCTTTCTGGAACTCTCCCAACAGCGCCGTCTAGTAACGAATGGAAGAATTAAGCTTTCTAGAAAAGTCCACTCTCGAACTTTCTGCATTTAGTCGGTCGGGACCGGTATTTGCTGGAATATTCTGGATGTATTGGTGAAAAAGGCGTATACAAAGGCGTTGAAGCCCGCCACCGGGGCAGTATTGAATTGGTGATACGAGCGAAGCTTTCGGAGCGAAATAAAGTGAACACAAGTGTTAAGTGTGATTAATTATTAGTGTGATTTAGGTTTTAATTGGTGTTCAGTAATTAAAGTGTCAATTTTGGTAATTCAATCGGTTTTATTGTCACGAACCCTAAGCTCGTAACAATTGGTGTCAGAAGTGGGATAAAATCATGCCGATTTTACCTAAGGACGAAATGAATTTACCTAAGGATGAAACGAAATGATGATGACGAATGTCCGTACCCGAAGTCAACGCCAGCAGGAGACGGACCAGAGAAGATTTGGTGGTGCAATGCCGCAGACGTCGGAGGGCCAACTGCCAGCCATGGAGGCTGGGCCCTCAGCAGCTCCTACACCTGCAGAATCTGACTTAGGTCCTCTCATGACGATGCTGCAGGAGCAGACTCACCGACAGGAGGAGCAGGCCATTTGTTTGAAAGAACAGCAGGAGGAACAGACTCACCGGCAGGAGGAACTGGCCCGTTGGTTGAAAGAGCAGCAGGAGGCACAGGCCCGCCAGCAGGTGGAACAGGCCCGCCAGCAGGCGGAACAGGCACGCCGATTGGAAGAGCGGCTGCGGGGTGGACAAGAGGAACAGGCCCATCGGTTGAAAGAGCAGATGCTCCTCATGAAGGACCTTCACGCTATCTTCGGGAAGGAGATAACGTAGGTGAAGGACAGGGTTGCTCAACATGACAACCGCCTGTCGGAAGTTGAAACCCGAATCGAGAAAGCCGAAACCCGAATCGACTAAGTGAACAATCGGGCTGACAACGTGATGGCTGACGTGAAGAAAACGCTGGACGACCTCAAACTGGGGGATAGAATCACAGCTCCCGTAGTAGCTACAACACCTTCGCTACGTGGATTAAAAGTGTCACCCTTTGACGGGACTGGCAGCCTAAAAACTGTCGGGCTGTCGGAGGTGAACGGCTGGAAAAAGTCGGCCATCCTAGGCCTGCGCTATCAAGCTTTAACCGTGTTGGACGCTCTCGGTAAGAAAGTGACT